CATCCATCCATCCACCCATCCACTCATCCATCCATCCATCTACCCACCCAACCATCTCCATTCATCCATCCATCCATCCACCCACCCACCCATCCATCCACCCTTCTACCCATCCATTTGTCCATCCATCCATCCATGCATCCATGCATGTATCTATCCATGCATCCATCCATGCATCCATCCATCCATCTATCCATCCATCCATCCATCCATCCTTCCCTGAGTGCTTAGTAGGTGCAGGCTCTGCCTTTGAGGCTGGCTGACACAGTGCTGGTCCTCCATACTTGTCAGTAGTGCCTTGCTTAATCCTGGAGACAAAGCATGAACAAGGTGCCGTTATTTCCTCCACTTTATAAATGGGGACACTGCCCAAAGTTGAGAGCTAGGATTGGGTGGGACCAGGTCCCAAGCAAGGCCTTCAAGCTCCCATGCTGCCTGGTCAGCTCATGTTTAGGACCTTACTACTGCTAGGTTCAGGGGAGACCAAAAAATGTAAGTGATCCCCACCCTCTAGATGTGCAGAACTAGAAAGAGAGCTAAGACACAAGGTCTCTTCTTCCTCAGTAAGGGGCACAGGGGATGATAATGTTAGTGACAATAATGAAATACTATTATTGTCAGTAACAGCAACCACGGCCACTGACGGAGCATTTGTGAGACACCCAACCACCACATCAAGCATCTTACAAAACTCAACTTAGGTATGACTGCCTCGGAAGGTTGGCATCATGACTATTTTAGACTGCAGAGCAGAGTGGTTGAGTCAGCTGTCCAGGATTATGTGCAAGGACAAAGATTTGCATACAGCACAGTTATTCTGACCACCGTGTGACACTACCCAGTGTCCAGGTGGAGAGAATAAAACTTGTCACAGAGGGAGAAGTGATTTGCTCAGGGGACACAGAAGGTTCCCTGCAGCTGGTGGCATTTGCCTTGGGCTGTGGAGTTTGAATGGGACCTGAGGGCACAGGGCAGGGAGGTACATGTGTGGGGTCCCCAGGGAACCCACGGTTGGTGGTTCAGCTGGCTGGAACAGCAGGTGCCTGCTAGAGAGATAGATGGGACAAACTTAAACAGGAGGAAGGGATTGGACAATGGGGAGCTTCAGCCCTCCCAGATAGCTTGGGACTTCTCCCACAGGCAGTGGGAGGGCTGGGCAGGATTGAAGCCCAAGGATAACATGACCAGAGTGGCATTGTAGAAAGTTTCCCTGGGTGGCAGAGATACAGGTAGAAGACATGGACAGGGTCTCAGTGAAGACAGTGGGGGTGGCCAGGAAGGGGAGTACCTCAGTGTGGGGGAGACCAGAGAGGACTGGCTATGGCAGGGCATGAGGGGAGTGAGCACCACCCCAGAGCTCACCCTCCTGCCAGCACTTCCCTAATGAGCGAGAATGGTGTCTCTATTAAGTATCTTCCCTCTGGCCTTGCCAAGAAGCGATGAAAGGTGGGCTGGATCTTAGAGCTACTCAGGGCTCCCGGGACAGGATCCTGCAGGTGGGCCTGGCAGATGGGGCTGCTAGTCTGGCAGAGGAGACAGGAGTGTTCTGCTGTGGCTGGGGTGGGTGGATAACATGTCAGTGCCCTGCAGTGCCTGGAGCGAGGCGCTTCTGACTCACTAGGCTTCTTCCTAACTGTGCTGGGCAGTGATTCCACGTACAATGTTTCCACCACATTCTTTGCTTGATAAACACAATAGGCAGGCCAGGTGAGAACTTTGGTTCTAAACTCCTAGCCCTGTTCTGTCCAATAGGGTAGCCACCAACTACATATAGGTAATGAATTCTTAATTAAGTTGTATGAGACAGAATGGGAAAACAAATACCAGTTTTGTAATTGCCCTGGCCCATGGGGGTTATCCTGTCAGCAGCGGAGCATGACCAGCGTGGAGAAGGAGACGTCACGGTGAGTCCTGCCAGGCACGGCCTCCTTAGACTGCTGGACTGGAAGGTGTTTTTCCACCTAGCCTCTCCCATTGTACTGACAAGGAGTCTAAGATCCAGTGGGAAGGAAAGATTTGCTCACGGACACAGAGCCAGCAGGTGGGAACTGAAGCCAGGCATTTGGGTGCCAAGCCCTACGGGTAACTTCGAGCGCTTTCTGTTTTCTCCAAGCATGGGGGTTTGTGATGATTTCAGGCTCATAAACATTTCCCCTTCTCCTCCTCCACCAAGGACGTCTTGCAAGGCTTTCCTTGGAAGATGGTGCCCTTTAAAGTGTAGTGCTGCTTACCCCTGAATCTGCACACGCTAGGTGCGTGGCTTTATGAGAGTTGGCTTTACTCAGCTCTTATAGATGGTAAAGAAGCCAAGGTGTAGACTTGGCCTAATGCCTGGCGCCACTGGACCAGCACTCCTGGAACGTCCCACATACGGAGAGTCTTAGAGGACTCAGCCCTCCTATGGAAATAGTGGATTTCACTAATCCTGGCTTACAGGCAGGTGTAGGCAGGCCCACCAGGAGCAAACGGGGCTCTGGCAGGTAGGATGTTCGGAGGAAATACCACACGTGTCAGGAATCCTCCTGGAGTGGGACTGGGAAAGGAAGGATGCGTTTCCCAAAGATGCAACATTCCTGGGGGTGCTAGAAGATCTGGCCCCTTGTCTGGGGGTGGTGGTGGGTACAACTGCTCTTTCAGGAAGCCTGGCCAGAGGGTGGCACTTCCCGAAAGACCCAGGAGTAGGGCTCAGCGGCTGGGGCATAGGTACTGTGTGGACCCTGAACTGCACTGAATACATTTCTTTC